AATAAGATAGGTAATGGCAAATATCATAATAATTGATTTACACATTTACTTTTTTTTTTTTCGTCTTTTTTTATACATTTAAATTGACTATTATTTTTATTTTTTTATTTTTTTTTTTTTTTTTTTGTAGTACTATTTGTATTAATTTTTTGAATTTTTTGTTATTTTTTATAATTTTTTTTTTTTTTTTTTTTTTTTTTTTTTTATAAATAATAAAAAAAAAAAAAAAATAATAAAATAAAATAAAGGTTATTTTAATTATTAATTATTATTATTTAAAATTTTTAATTATTTTTTTTAAAAGTTTTAATGTGATCTTTAGTAGAAAAAACCTATATCGTTATGAGTTTAACAAACATCATTAAACGTGAAAAAAGGAAAAGACAGGAGGGAATAAGTCATGTTATTAAGAAAAAATTAAAAAATTGTAATATGTCTATATCTTTCGAAAGTAATCAACAAAATGAATATTGCTCCTCTTCGTTAATTACGAAGAATGTGCCTACTAATAATAATATAGATAATTATATATTTGAGGATATTTATGAAAATAATAAAGAAAAAATAAATTCACAAATTAAGAAAAAAGAAATAAACGATACCTTTATATATGAAAATAATATATTTTACGAAAACAACTTGAATATTATAAGTCAAAATGAATCAAGATATTTGAATACATATGAAAAAGAAAACAGAAATAAAAATATTAAAAAAAAAAATTGCCTAAAGAATGAAAAGAGTATAAGTAAGTTAAAAAGTAGTAAAAAAAAAGTTAATGAAAAAAATGGGGAAAAAAATGTAAAAAAAAAAAAAAATAATAATAATAATAATAATAATAATCATATATGGGAAGGATTATTAAAAAAAGATGTAATATTGTTACTATTACAAACTATTAAAAACATGGGTTATAAGAAATCTGCAAAATATTTAGAATTAGAAAGTGGAATAGAATTAGAACAACCTCTAGTTAAAGAATTGCATAAAAACGTTTTATTAGGAAAATGGAAGAATGCTATATTTAATTTAAAAAAATTAAATATAAGCAAAAAATTAATGAAAGCAATAGGATTTTTAATATATGAACAATGTTTTATAGAATATCTATATAATGGAAAATATTTTGCTGCATTAAGATGTTTAAGAGGTAAAATGGTAAAATGCTGCTTTGATGAAGATACTTATAATAGGTTACATGATTGTACTACTTTTTTTATGTATTTAAATGATAAAGAATTAGAAAAAAGGTGTAAAACTAATTTTAAAAATTCTCGTAAAATTTTATTCGAAAAAATAAATAGATTACTACCAGAACATATTATTTTACCTCCAAGAAGACTAGCTATTTTATTACATCAGTCTCTTAAGTATCAAGTAGATAATTGTTTGTTTCACAATAATTTTTCAGAATTGAAATTAGTTAAAAATTTATTAAAAATAAAAAATAAAAAAAAATATGATAAATTATATAATTGCAATGAGTGTAAAACTAATAAAATGAAGTGTAACAGTAAAAATAGAAAAGAAAAGAAATTAGTATCAAAAACATTATCTCTTTGTAAGAAAAAACCATCAAATTTAGGAAAAAATCCAAGTAAAGATAATTACACAAAATATAACAGTACAAACGATGTAAATGATGTACAAATTTATGATACTCTTAAAGACAGAAACATTCTAAATGATGAAAATAATCATGATAGAAAAAATGAGTCTTCCTTATCTTCAAATGAATTAAAAAGAACAAAAATAGAAGAAGCTGATAAGAACTTGATATATGTTAATTCAACCTTAAGGAATAATGAAAGTATTCAAGGTAATGAATTCAACACAACAATAAATGAATCATTAAAAAAATCAACTAAAAGAAAAAATACATTGCTTCCATACATTAATGAACAAAATAACTTGCATGTTTCAAAAGTAAATAATCATGAGATGACAGATGTGTTAAATAATTCAACAAGTTATCACAATGAGAGAAAAAAAAGAAATTTGAAATATAACATGAATGAACAAATTTTTTTTACAAAAGAAACACCAAATAATGAAAATAATAATACACAAGAAAATAGCATAGAAAATCACAATGATAGTATTCTTAGAACTTATCAATTTAATTATAATAACAATTCAGAAAAAAATGATGAAAGTAATAAAAATATAGAATATACAAAAAAAACAAGTATCCAAGAAAATAGTAAGACAATAACTTATACTGAAGGATATAATAAAATAGATGAAAAAGAATCTTGTAATTTGTTGGATAAACAAAAAACAGAAACAGTTGTAGTTACAGAAAAAGAAAAAAAAAAAAAAAAGAAAAAGAAGAAAAATAAAAATGATAGTATTGTATCTTATGATAATCATAACATGCTTTCCTTTTCGTTATTAAAAAATCATGAATGTAAAAAAATAAAATTACCATATTATTGCATAAAAATATTACAAGGTCATAAAGATGAAGTGTGGTATGTTAGTGTATCAGCCAATGGGAAATATATAGCTTCTTCAAGTAAAGATAAAAGTATTTTTTTATGGAAAGGTACATATCCATTTAACAAAGTAAGAGAATGGAATGATCATATTGATGGAGTAAGTTATATTATATGGAGTCATAATAGTAAGTATTTAGTTTCAGGATCTAATGATTCCAATATTATTATATGGAGTCCAAAAAGTAGTAAAAAAAAATTAAGTTTAAATATGCATAGTGGTCCTATTACTTCAATTTGTTGGTCAAAAGATGACTCAGTAATAATTTCTTCTGCTTTTGATAAGAAAATATTTTGTACAAAATTAAGCGAAGATTTAAAAAGTTTTTCTATTTTATATGTATGGTCTTTTAGTACAAGAATTCAGAATTTTGTTTTTACAAGTAATGATAAATATTTAATTGTTGTTGCATCTGATAAAAATGTTAGAGTTATTGATTATAATTTGAAAAAAGAATTATACACTTTACCTGAATTTGACACCATTACATCTGTTTGTGCATCAAATTTTTACAATCATATATTAGTTAATATTGCTGATCAAAGACCAACTGTCAAATTGTGGGATGTTAAATATAGATACATTATACAAACTTACAGAGGGCATAAACAAGGTAGATTTATTGTTCATTCATCATTTGGTGGAAAAAATGAAAATTATGTTATTAGTGGTAGTGAGGATAGCTTAATATATATATGGCATAAAGCTAAAGGTTATTTATTAGATGTTATAAATGGACATGCATCAACAGTTAGTATAGCTATATGGCCAATATCTTATTCAAAGTTTCCATATATGATTTCTGCCTCTGATGATCATACTTTAATGATATGGAATATTTATCCTGGAATTAATAAAATAAAAGATGACAAAAAAAAAAAAAAAAAAAAATTTATTCACCCATTTCTGAAGGAATTACGTAAATGCTATTCCTTGAAAAATAAAGAATGAATAAAACAAAAAAAAAAAAAAAAATTAAAGAATATAATGATATTCTTAATTTTTTATATTAAAATATACTTTTTTTTTCAAGGTTAGAAGATTTTATTGCATTAATTTTTATGCATATTTCTCATTAACTTGGAAAATTATTTACGTAATTATTAAGAATGATATAGCTATTATTATTTGATGTACTAACGTAAGTTTTTGTTACTCTCATGTTTCATATAATGAAAGTATTAAAAAATATTATATGAAGAGTAATAAAAATAAAAACTATATTTTTTAAAATATTTATATTCCAAAAAAAAAAAAAAAAAAAAAAAAAAAAATT